CAAAAAAAAAAAAAAAAAACCGAACCCAAAGACATTTATTTCCCTCAATACCCACTCACCTCTTTGGCACGGTCAGGGTTTTTGAACAAAAGCCTTTAATTGTCAACATATCTAGACAGATTTCCCTACAAAATAAACAAACTTGAAATGTTGAAAAGCGGTGTCGGAGGGGAAACTATGGAGGAAACTTTAAGAGGAGGGAGGGAGGGAGGGAGGGAGGGAATGAAGTCGGGTGTTGGGGAGGGGTGTCAGAGGAAGGCAGGGAGAGGAAGAAAAGTTACACAAAAAAATCCCAAAGTTGTAAGTTTCAAAAAATCATATCTCGGCATCTCCGGAATAAATAACATCTCTGAAAAATTGGACAGAAAAACCAAAAACAACAAACCTTGATTAGCTGTACAAAGCATGATGGCCATAGGGGAGGGAGAGGAGGGGGGGGAGGAGGAGGAGGAGGGCGGAAATATGAACATTCCAAGCGTTAAATTACGTGGGCCCTGATACACTATACAGACTACACTCAGACATATATATATATATAATAATAATAATATATATATACATATGTATCTATTCATATTATGGGAAGTGGATATGTGTAATTTTCTATATGTGTATGCATGGACAAAGTCATTACTATCTTTTCCGCCTGTGAATTCAGCTCAACAAAAGCTGGAGGGATGAGGGGGGGTAGAGGGGAAGGGAGGGAAGGGGAGGGGGGGATTCATTGCACAGAATATTCATAAAAAGCAAAGTTTAAAAAGTTGCACTTGTAGAATCTTTGCCACAACTCTCTCATCAACTTCACACTGTCCCTCCTCGATTAATCTTTGTACTAGTCTGTCAGTCAATCAGTCTGTTCTTCCTTCCGACTCTTCTTGCTGTCCGTCTCTCTTTGTCTTTATGTCTCTCTTTCTCTCTCTCTCACTCTCTCTCCTCATTCTGTCTTTCCGTCTCTTTGTCTTTATGTCTCTCTTTCTCTCTCTCTCTCAGTCTGTCGGTGTCTATGTCACTAGTTTGGAGATGCAGCATGACAAGCACAATAGTAGGCCCCCTACATTTTTACCACAAAATTATCAAGAGTTAAAAGACTCCACTATGCACGTGAAGCCAACAGGGAGCTGGCAAGTCCACACAGCCTGCGACCAGCTTGTTCGTATTATGCAGATAGTGAAAAGTCGATGCAAACATGAAACAGTACATTTGTCCTCGGGTCAGCCAAGTACACTCCCCAGGTCCCCCAGTTTGGTAATCACCGAGGACTCCAGCGCACAAACGTAGACGGTAAGGTAAACCTGAAAGGCTTCTTTACCGTGACGCAAGAGATGAACACATTCCTACAGCGCCAAAACAGTCAGGTTGTCCCTCCGCATAGCGCCACAACAGACACATTGTCACCTCCCACAGTGCCAAAACGGACACAGCATCATTCTCACAGCGCCAAAATGGATGCCATTCTCACCGTGCCAAAATGGACGTCATTCTCACCACGCCAAAATGGACACATCGTCATTCTCACAGGGCTAAAATGGACACATCGTCATTCTCACCGCGCCAAAACGGACACATCGTCATTCTCCCAGCGCCAAAACGCACACATCCTCATCCACAAAGAGCCAAAATTGTCCCTCGAAGTCACGGTCACACATCTAGTGTCTCCGGGCTGGCTGGCCGCGTGCATTGGGGGGTCGGAGGCGGGGGAGGTGGGGGGCTCTGACTGTCCCCGTGAGGTGGGGGTCTATAGCTCTCCCCGTGAGGCGGGGGTCTATAGCTCTCCACGTGAGGCGGGGGTCTATAGCTCTCCCCGGCCCCAACTGTCACAACCGAGCCACGGCTACCTACAACAACATCACAACCCCGAACTGGGGAAACCCGCAGCGATGACGACGACGATGACGACGATGATGATGACGACGATGATGATGATAACGAAGCTGACACTGGTGACAACACATTTGACGACGCACTGACAGCCACGGGCTCCACCACCGATGATGAGCACAATAACGATGAAGATGGCGACGACGATGATGATGTGGTGGTGGTGCGGAGTGCCGTCGGTGTATAGCTGGTGGTTGTCGTGGTAGTCGAGGCTAGGGTGTTGTTCTGCTGCAGTAGGAGGTCGGCCGCGCGGTGCACGTGCCAGCCAGAGGCCAGCAGCGCCTGCTTGCAGCGATGGACGTCGGCCAGCTCCAGGGACAGAAGCTGCTTGAGCTGTAGGTACTTGGTGGCTTTACTCACATCCCACTGGCTGCTCTCTAGGGCAACTGTACACTCCTCCACACTCACCTGGGGGCGGGGGGGCAGAGGGAGATTGTGAGGGGAGGGGGAGAGGGCAGAGGGAAATTGTGAGGGGGAGAGGGCAGAGGGATATTGTGAGGGGAGGGGGAGA